GTAAGAGACAGAAGCAACCAGAACTGCAACAAGATCTGTTACCTGCAACTAAGAAACTCAAGTGTACTGGCTGGGGAGCCATTTGCCATTACATTGTGAGTTTCTGTTAGAATCTACTGAGTCCTATTGAAATCTAGATTTAACAATTGTCAACCCACGTTTTTCTCGGCTATCCTCTCAATAGAAGTGTATTGAATCACATTTTTAGTTGAGCTCATATTAAGTTCTTTTGCTTTTATGATTAAATAGAGTAGACCCAGAAGTCAAGTAAGGTATTTTCATTATATTCCTTCCTTATTCACTTTTTTCTGGGCAGTAATTACCTCATTTCCTATTTGATTTAAATCTCCAAGTATTTCCACTACCATCCAACAGCTCTATAAAATGCTTCTCAATTCAGTTTTCCACAGGGTCAAAACTGTCAGCTGATCTGTAATTCTAATTTTCTGTCTTGGATCCTTATTGAAAATATTTGTGCAGTCTAGGAAGGTTCCTGTCTAAGCCATCTATGCTTCTGCTATCCCCAGCTACATTACCTGGGAGACTTCTCTACTTTTCACCCTCATAGTTGGGAAAGTAAACAAGTTTCCAGTATTTGCCTGAGAAAAAAATGATAGACAAGAGGTAAACTCTGTAGGCCCTGAAGGTCTGCACATGGCTTGTTATTGTTTGTGTCCAAATGTCTCACCAAATCTTCATGCAGTCTTAGGGGGCAGGCATTTTGGAGATAGCTGAATCTGGAGTTTGTGATTGGTTCATTGTCTAGTGCTGGGATTGGTGGTGTGAGTGCTACACCCACCCTAGGGCAGGTAGCCTACATAGAATATAAGGGAGGGAAAGAGGCTTGCTCTTCCCCCTTTCTGCTCTTGCTGCTTTTGTATCTTCCCCCTCCTTGAACAGTTGCCCCTCTGCCACGCCACCCTGCCTTGGAGCCAGCTGATCATGGACTGAAACCTTCACAAACTGTGAGCTAAATATTTTTGTCTCTTTAACTTTGGGTGTTGGGCATTTTGTCTCAGCAATGAGAAAAGTAACTAAGACATGACTTTTTTGCCCCTCCTTATACTTAAGGTAACAGCTCATCTGGGCATAAAATTTTGCAGAAATCATTATATCAATGTCTAGCCTCTGTAATTTCCTTTAAGAAAGTTAGTATCTTGCCAGTCTTTAATCTTTTCTATGTGGTGTGTTTCAAATCTCTAGAAGAATTTATCATCTTTTCTATCTGAAAAGCATCCTCATTATGCTGGGTACTCAATGGGCCTAACCAATTTTGAAATACATTTCTCAGTTCCAGGAAATTACTTTGACAACTTTCTCCAGGTCATTTTTCTGTTCTCTGGTTATGAAATTCTGTTAATTGAATACCATACTTTCTGAACATATGGCCTAACTTTCTCATCTTTTCTTGCCTATTTAATATTTGCTATCTTTTAGTACCTTTTGTTTTTTCTAGAAATGTCATCTTTATCTTCCTTTTCTTGAAGTTTAACATCTTTATTGTCATATTTTAAATTCTAAGGGATCTTCTTTCCTCACTATATTTCTTACTCCTTCTTTACTTTTTCTTACTTCTTTCCTTTATTTCTTCCTCTTTGTGGCTTAGCATCTTGTTCTTCTTTTATGAATTCATTGTCTTTAATCTCCCCAGAGTTGTTATCAGTTGTAGTTTTTCTAATAGTTTCTCTTATACTTACACTGCCTTTTTCTAGACCGTTAGCTTGGACTTTGTAGTTCATGTTAGAAGGTATCTTCAAATGTTGTGTAATCCTAGGTTGTCTGTTAACAACTAACAGTGATAAGTAAACCGCCAATTGAAAGATTTTGATAATTGAGCCGGATGTGCCAACAGGACAGCTTTAATGTTGCTGAATGAAGTCCTGATTTTCTTGGAAGGAAGTTCCAAAGGTCAATCCCTGTGGGTGCTTTTGTTTTAGGACTGGTAGATTACCTAAAAATAGAAGTCGTCTGCCTCCGCAGACACTTTCACACCTGCTTTAGTAATGGATGAGAGGATACTCACCAAGCACAGATACCCACAGGGCACAGTTCCAAGGGCATGCATGAGACTAAATGTGAAAGCCAGTATTCCCTGGGCAGGCCCTTGAACTCTCACGCTGCAACTTAGCAGCTTTGTGATTCCATGGGAAGTGGAAAGAGGGAAAAGAGGCTTAAAGGTAATAAATAATAGTCCCCGACTCTTGGCATTATTACAAGGGAAAATGAAGAACTATAGGTAAATACCAAGAAGAGAGCCTGGCAACTCTTCTCCAAAGGATCACATACCATTGGCATGAGCAGCAAGAGCAACAGCATGATCACTGCAATGGATTTCAAATTTCTGTATTATAAGAAGGCTGAGGACAATTTAGCTGGAAAAGAAGGGATGGTGGTGATATATGTCTTGGGGCTGCATATGTACAATAAGGGAGACATGACTGTGTGCTTAGCTGGGATGGTTTGGCAGGGAGATGAGCCCCTCATGGCACTGCACTTATGTCATGTCCTTTAAAATACTATGGCAACTGCTATGGAATATAAGTCATAGGTGCACACTTTGAGGTGTATGCAGTTCTATGTGTGTGTACACATGTTTATTTTCCTAACATAGCTAACCAATATTAGCATAAATTCAAAATTGGTGAAGATTTTAATATCAGTGATTGATTCCAGTCAAAATCCTATCTTCTGGCTTTTTGAAATGTACAGTATGGTATTGTTGCCTGTAGTACTCTACTTTGTAAAAGCACACCAGAACTCCTTCCTTCTATCCATCTATATTCGCATCTACATGGCAGTCCTGAAAACATTCAAGAAATGGGTAAGCCACAAGACAAGGTGCATGCCTGCAAGCCCAGCACTCAGGAGGCTGAGGCAGGAGGATCGTTGTGAGTTCAAGATCAGCCTGAGCTACAAAGTGAGCTCAAGGCCAGCCTGAATTGTACAGTGAGGTCCTGTCTCAAAAAGAAAAAAAAAAGACAAGGGACATTTTTGACCTACCAAATGCCAGGAACATCTCCCAGTCCTGTGCAACTAATCCCCTGAGTTCCTGATTACTTCTGAAATAGTTCTCTGCCCTAACTATATACCTAAATTACTAATTATTGTGCACTACCCTATGTCTTTTTTGGGAAAATTTTTGCTTCATGTGATAGCTATCAAGGAATGTCCAGGTCTTGCTCCTTGCTGGAAAAGTTCCTAAGCCATTGCTCAGGCCCAAGCCTACATCCTGCTCCTGTGCCCCATTACCTGAGGTGCTTGCCTATCCTCTTGTGATTTCTGCTGCTCACTCCCTCTCTCAGGGTTCTTTGTCCTCTCTGATTAGCTGGACAGTGCACAGGAAGTGTGCTCATTTCAGACCCCATATGAAAGTAGTCTAATGCAGAGGGAGAAGATAGTAGGAACACTGTATTAGTCAGGCTCATACTACAAGAAAATACTTGACACAGGCTACTTACAAAGGAAGGTTCAAACCAAAGAGCAGCCAGCCCCAATGGTGCAGGCCTTTGGCAAGGATAGCACATCCTGGCAGGAGCCATGTCAGAGCAAAAGCACATCGGAGCCTGGAGTCAGAGGGGGGTAGGTTGAGTCCCACCCCAGTGACCTGAGGACCTCCCACAATAATCCACTTCACCTCCCACCATTGTGCCATAGGACTAAGCCTTTCATGTAGACCTCTGGGGGACAATACTCATGTTCAGACCATCGCAGGCATTAAGAGAGACATTCCTGGGTTTGAATCCTAGCTCCCTCTGTAAACATCACTCCCTAATTTTTCTTGTCCTCCCTTTCACTGACTATGAAATGGGAGTAATAATTGCTGCTACAAAGTCAGGTTGGAACATTAATTGAGCTGATGTATTTTATTTTCACCTACCTTATTTATGAAAGGTTTAAAGTGACTTAATAAGGGCAATCAGAAAATAGAACTTTGGTTAACAATCTAATAGGATGGGCAAAGTTTGCCATCTGTAAAAACCTATCGAGGCACAGTATCTGTAGAAAAATGGCTCCTGAGGGTCTGTGTTTGACATCAAAGTCCCCACAGTTGGTGATGTGACCCAGGGCAAGAAAAGCGAAAAGGAAGTCAATGCTAGGAAGCTGTTCTGCACACAATGTACAGAAGAGTCATCAAGCAGAAACATGGATGGCAGTAGAAGAAAGTCCAGTTCACAGGACCCCTACTGAGTCTAGGGATATTTTATCTAATCCTCTCAACAATCCTGCAATACAAGTACATTAAGTCTCATCCTTTGAAACCTGCACTTACTGAGTTCAGATTCTGCTGTGTTACTTCTTAGGATTTGACCTCAACAAGTCATCTACCCCTCTGTTTCCTCGTCTGTAAAATGAAGACAATAATTTACCTACTTCACAGGGTTTGTGTGAGGACTGAGTCAGTGACTATACAGCATTCAAATGGTGTCTGGTATATAGTAAAAACCTATAAAAGCGGAAGTGAAATATTTTACAGATTAGTAAACAGATACATATATCTCATCAATAGAAAACATCAGGCATCCCCAGACTATTATTAGGCTTGAGAGGGAGATCATGCTGGAAGTATTTTAGAAGTTTTCGAGAGATTGTTTTGTCACAAAGAGCTTCACTTTACAAGAGTAATCCCTACATTCCTTATATGTGTCACAGCTACAGAATGAGCCATTACATAAAAACCTTCAGATATTGAATCATGAGTGTACTACAGACATTCAGAATAGCCTTTAGTCTATTGTTAACTTGCTTCTGTTACCCTGAATTTTAAATATTCATTAGCATCTTAAAAATTAGAAGAGTTTCTTTTTTATTGTTAATTGTACTGTGAATATTCAACATTGTGTGTGCACTAGAATAGAGTATTGTCATTATTTTCTCTACAACATGTACAAAGTTCATTACTTAGGTGAGTTTGCAACATGGTTAACAGGCACACATCAAGCTAGCTGTATGTTGGGACATAAATGAGCTAAGTCCACCAACACCTGTGAACCATACCTCGGCCATCAGAAAACGCAGGTCTCCCTTAATCTATACAGTGAGCTTCTATTCCAAGACAGAAAGGTGTTGCTTCTGTAGGACATTATTGAGCCATCTGAAAACAAAGTGCACTATTTGTGATGAATTAAAATTGACTCTAATTATGCACAGTTTGATATCAGTGATATAAAAGCAATTATGGTTTAATCAAGCAAAATGGCATTGTTGGTAGGTTCCACTTATCATTCTTAAATCATGCTGCAAAAGTTAAGCATTTGTTGCTGCCCTGGAAAGCCAATCAAATAAATAGTCCATTTGCACAGTTCCCTTGGTGTGTCTGAAAAGGTGCTGCTCACACCTGGGGAGCATAATTAATCCATAGCCTTGATTTTCAGGTTCCCCTCCCACAGAAAACCTCTGAAGTCAGGGGCTTAACTTCCCAAAGTTTAATAGAACCTCAAATCTCTTTCACTGAGCCCCAATCTTTATTAATTTCTTCATTTGTCAGAATTCACAATTTCTTACATATCAGAGTGTCTGGTAAATAATACCATTATGAAAATTCGATTGAATAGAATTGTCTGGCCCAGTCACTTCTATTACAGTAAAATCAGAAGCATACCTGAAAGAATTCCATTTGTTCAAAACCTTTCTACAATAATGTACTTTAAATATTTAATAAGTCTAATAATAAAAATAGTAGTTGATTCTATGTAGTATTTAATGGGACCAGTCACTTTCTTAATAAATATTGAGGTACTCAGTTTCTACAGCAAATTACCATGGTAGCTATTTTCTTTCTCTTCAATTTTCTCAGATTAATTGACTTACTAAGGTGAAATGCATGATAAGTTCAAGAGAGGATTGGAATGCAACACTGTGGCTCCACCCATTTGGCCACTATGGTATGTGGAATTATTAGTGCAGGCTTTATGTCTATGAATAAGAGATCAGATCCTTAGTGATTTACAATCTTATACCAGGGCCACCGTTATGGACATGAATTCCCTCTGAAGAACACATTAAATAAAGCAGATATGAAAGATGGAGTGTATGATATGTGCGAGAGAGAGCAAAAAAGTAGCTTAGAGCCTGCATTTTTGTTAACTTGGGGTTTTAATAAAATTATAAAGAAAAAAGAATAAAAATTGTCAATTATTTCAATCATAAAAATATTTTAAATGTTGTTTTATAACTTTTTCTACACAATATGGATGCATAAAGAAATTTGAAATACAAAGATTAAATGAGTTCTGAAAAAGAAACAGAGCTATACATCTAAGATCACTAAATCTCAGCTTTCTCATCTGCAATATTTGTACATGACTGGCACTCACTCCATTACTTATAGAGACATTGCACATGAAATATTAAGTATGATGCTTGACAGAGAGTAAACCACAAAAACTGCTTATCAGCCTTTTGGCTAAGGCCAAGTGATGCATGCCACAGAAGTCAGAGGTTATTATTAGTATCAACCATACCTACCATTTCAATTTGCTTTGCTACCCACATGGAGACTGGGAGTATTTTCTCACATTAATAAACACTCTTCAGAAACATTAGAAGTTTAATGTTTTCCCTCCTTTCTCTCTCTTCAATTTTAAAGATGCTGCAATAAATGTCCTCATAAATAAGTCATTTTGTAGTCTTCCTATTTTTTCCTTATAAAATTCCAAAAGCAAAATGAGACTTTTAATGTAAATTTCTAAATGACTGTCTCAAAAAAATGTGCCACTAGCATAACTATCTGGGGTATATGAATGTGTGAATCTGTGGAATTAAATTATTACAATTATTTTTAACTCTTCCCAGTTTACTGAAAAAATGAAAACTCACTTTAATTAGATGTGTTTTATACTAACAAAATTGAATTTTTACACAGGACCATTTGTATCTCTCTTATGTGAATTTCCTATTTATGTTCTTGGTCTAAGATTCCACAGGGGATTCACTGTCTCCATTTTTTATAGGAATGATTTCAATTTTTATTTATTGATTTGTATATTCATGCAGTCATTGCATTTGACAAATATTTATTATTGGCACATACTGTAGGCCAGCTTTATAACTTTTGTTACATAAATTACTATACATCTCATTTTCATATTTTGAAATATAGTTCATAATGATTGTTATGTATATTTTTAATTTTTATATATGTAAACATATAAATTCTTCCCTTTGGTTTCTGACTTTGTTACTAGATTATATTATGCATTCACTTATGTGTTTCTATTTTTTAAATTATTTTATTTCTCATATTAAATATTTAAACTACTGTGTTGGTTTGGAGAATATTTTGCAAGGGGAACAATATAATACAGGATACATATTTCATAAGATTATTTATAATAGTCACCCAGAGAATGATATACAAAAAAGTGCAGGAAATCTGTCCACACACTAAGACCAAGGAAACTAGCCAAGGGCCTGGATGCCATGGAAATGTCCTGCATGAGTCCAGCTGAAGACCTAGAGCTTGTAACAGTGCCTCCCACAAGTTCAACTGAAGGCCTAGAGCCCATAACAATATCTTATGCAGGCTCATTTCATGGATCTGCGTTGGGAAGGCCTAAAGGTCAATGGTGGAATCTAGTAAGTCTCTGCCAATGGGATGAAGGATCTGAGGTAGCAGACTGAGGGATCTGCACTGGAACCAGGAAGCGATGTGCAAAGTAAGAACCACAGCTCCCCTGAAAGGTACCACAGCCATCCTCAGCAACAGTGATGTCCCAAGCTCCTCCAATGATCAAGATGGCTGAGTTCCCACCAGGGAAGCCAAAGCAGCAAACTTCTCAAAGAGGCTGGCAGTGCACAATCTTCCCCTCTGGAGCCAGGAAGCAATGTTCAAAGTAAGGACCAAACCTCCCCCAAAGTGAACCAAAGCCATTCTCAGTGCCAACAAGGTCCCGAGCTCCTCAGAGGATGAAAGCAGCCAAGTTCATCAGGAAAGCCAGCATGACGAGCTCCTCCAAAAGAACCAACAGCTCCTTACAGCTTCTACCAGCTCCCAACAGCCTTTCTCAGCTCCCAACAGCCTTTCTCAGCTCCCAACAGCCTTACTTCTTCTTCTCCAGCTCTGCTTTTTATGCTGCTGGCAACAATCCCCAGGTGGGCCATCCACACCAAGCACCATGCTTACTCAGTTCAGCTGGAGGTTATAAATTGACCATCAGTTGTCAATCCACTACAACTACTGAAAATTATTTCATGGTAAGTTACAAAGTAAGAATCTAATATAATCATATTTCTAATTAAATATCTAGTTATTTAGTACATTTTCTTCATAGCTTCATTTTCCTATGATATCTGTATTAAATACAATTTTCTTACATTACTAGAATCTTTTTCTACTTTGTTAGTTCTCTTTATTAATCAATTTATACCTTTTATAAAAGTATATCCCTGTTGTCATGATTTTTAAAAATATTTCAATTTCAAAACCAAGAACCTCCTACACACAGAAAACATCCTGAAGAACAAACTTTGCCTAGAGAGGCCTTGATACTACTGATAAAGTTAGGTACTGCAACAACTTACAAGGATCAACACAGAAAATAAAATAAAAACTTTTGAAATAGAAAATGAAGGGGCTGGGGATTTAGCTCAGCGGCAAAAAGCGCCTGCCTGGCAAGCGCAAGGTCGTGAGTTCAGTTCC